TGGCAGCCATCTTGTATTTTGAGCTTGAATGCCTGAATTTGTGTCCTTAGCATCCACATAAATGCTGAATGAGCATGGCAGCCATCTTGTATTTTCAGCTTGAATGCCTGAATTTGTGTCCTTAGCATCCACATAAATGCTGAATGAGCATGGCAGCCATCTTGTATTTTCAGCTCCCCATGGAGGTGAAGACACGATCCCTGGCAAGCTGGCTAGCTAGACTAACTAAATCAGTCAGCTCTAGGTTCAGCTGAGGGGCCTGCCTCAATGAATAAGGTAGAGGGCCATCCAGGAAGACTCCTGATTATCAGCCTTGGGCTTCCATATGCACACTCCCACACAAATGTGACCCCCCCACCTCAAACACATACACACATGTACAAGCACCACACATACACATGTAAAAAGAAAACAAAACAGAATGGGCATTGTTACCATGCTCTCCCTGGGAGCGCAGTCGGGTAGGAGAAGGTAAGTCCAGAAGCTACTAGTGCTTAGGGTTCAGCGTAACTGTGGTCATGACAGGAATGCAGGGCGCATGGGAAGAGGCGATGGACTCACTGAGGGCCTGTTGTGGGACGCGGAAAATGTGTGGAGGGTTTGAGTGAGGGAGATTAGCAGGGGGAGGTAGAGAAGAGTGATGGGATTAGGAGGCAAGAAGAGCTGTGAAGGTAAAGGAACCAGGAACATCCAGGGATAGATTAGAACTCTCCAACACCAAGTGCAAGTGGCACTCTTGAAAGATTTTATAAGGGACTGTGAATTCCTCATATTTTCATTTTTAGACAATTAGACATGAAGGGTCAAGTCATTTGAAACCTCTGAGGACATGCTCACCATATCCCACCACCACAAAACACAGTGGCAAGTTTTGGATTTTGTTTTCATGAAGAATTTGAGTCCTAGCATCCTTCAGTTATGATTATTGCGAAAACTGGAATTCTAGGAAACTTGGAATTTTGAAATATGGTTGTCCCTACAATTAGACTTCTTAAGCAACGTGTATTTCTCAAGCGCTTTCTATTATGATGTTGAGTTTTCAGGTGGGCTTACATCTGAGGTTGGACTGTTATATGCTTGTCTCTCAGATGGAGAAATCAATGCAGGAAGGTTAAATAGCATGTCCCAGGACAAGAGACAAGGAGAGGAGAGTTAAGATACGTGTCCTAGGAAGTCAGCTTTACAGTTCTATGTTCTTTATGACAGCAGCCTAGAAGACCCAAGTTTCTTAGGAAAACAACCCAACATATTTCTCAGAAAATCCACTGGGGGAAAGTGACTAATTGCATAGTGTCATACATATCCTATAGCATCAGGGGTCTTCAAAGATATGTGGCTTGTGCTACATTATAAGATCATGAAATAAAGCACGACAAGAAATATTAGATGATCAACCTTTTCCCCTTGACATGTGAGAAACAGGAGACACCAGAACGTGATTTGGCATGGCTTTTGAGCCTTATGTCTGGTTGGTTCTCTGGTTTTTGCTTAAAAGAGACTTTGGGTCATCTGTTTGCCTGCTTGTTTTCTCATTTGTAAAATGGAGGTGTTCATAGTACCTCACTGCTTTGGATTTTCTGGGTAAGAAGAACCACTGTCTCAAATCACTTGCATGCTAGTGGGGAGGGAGCTGGGTGGTAATCTAAGGGTATATACAGAGAACAGGTGAAATACCCTAGAATAAAAGGGTATTTTTAGATATAATATATATATATAATATATATATTATATATATAATAAAAGAAGACCAATTGCTGTGGGAGAGCAGATACCATTGACTGGGCACCGAGAACAGAGAGCAAAGTTTCCATAACTCATGGTCCCTGGACAAGTGGCCAGATTCCTGTCATTGCCTATTAATGTGACAGCATGTGGGTTCCATGGTTGCCGTTAGTCAGGTTTCCAGCACTATAACAGAAGAGTCGGGACTGAACTTTAGAATATAAAAAGGTTTATTTGGGCTCACAGGTTTGGAGGCTCCGTTTGCTTTGGGCTCAGGACGACGAGGCAGCACATCATTGCAGAAGTAATAAGCAAACGGGAAAAGCAGGATTGAGGAAGGACCAGAGTCACCCAATCCCCCTTAAGGACCTGTCTCCAAACATCTTCCAGTAGCCCCATCTCCCATCACCATCACCCTATGGACTATGCATTCATTTTATCATATGCTACAGAAAACACATCTGACAGAGTAAGTTTGCTTCAGAATTTATTATCCATTCCAAAGCCAACCTGTTATACTTTTAATTGCCCAAATGCATAGGTTATTTCCCTCTTATTTTTTTTTCTACCCACTTATTCTTTTTTGGTGTTAGGAGCTTTATGTCACATTGTCAGATTGATATGAACACACAGGAAAGTTTTCTCTAAAATGAGATAAATAAAAAGGCTCCCTAAAAATCCATACAGTTACAATCAGGAATCTGATACATTAGATTGAGCTGGTATCAGTTTACTTTTTTTTAGTTCCATATAAATTTAGGAAAAAATAAGAATTTATAGACATGTTAAGTTATTAAGGGAGTGAAGTGTTAACATATATTTACGTACCTGGCTATTTAAAAATTGCAATTAGACATTCATTATTAATGGAATTATTCTGACAGAATGCTTCTTTCAATTGCTACCCAGTTTGTACTTAGAGGTAATAAAGACCAAATGTTACAAAGTATTTCATATTTTCCAACAATTTTTTTATGAGCTTACTTGTGAAATTACCCAGGTTCGCAAGGCCTCTCTTCATTAAACTGAGGTGCCTATGTTACAGCGATGGTAGCTTTAGGTTAGAGATGGCGTAAACATGGCAAAACAGACTTGCAATGGGGATGACGTATTGAATTTATGAGGCTATATTTCAGGTTTGCTGTTGCCTATGGTAACAGTAGAAGGTGTCTTAAGTCAAGGCATCAGTATCAACACACACTTTTTTTTAAAAAAGGGGAATGGCAGTTAAGTGTGCAAATTATAATAGGATTCAAAGGTAACATCTCCATTCAATGCTTTACTGGGGCTTTGCACCAAGACCTACCACCAGGTGCCTCAGGGAACCTTGGTAGAGGACAGGGGCTCCCAACAGCTAAATAGACATGACCACAGTGCAATCAAATCAGATATTTTCCAATTTGTCATGTCCAGTACCTCTGTATCAAGACGTTCTATTCTAGCACTTACCAAACTGCGTCTCCCTTGGGTGTGCATCTACTAAATGATGCTTATTTCTGAGAAAATGATCCTTATTTCTGGTGTTTTCCTGCACTTTTGGCCAATTTTATTATTTTGTGGTTACATCCTTCAAATGTTATTGTCAAAACTTGGCGCTCTCTCTCTCTCTCTCTCTCTCTCTCTCTCTCTCTCTCTCTCTCTCTCCCTCTCTTTAAAGTGGGTTTTGAAAAACCTATGAAATTCATCCAACACAAAAGGACAGAGACCGGGATGAACTACTGACTGGCAAGCTGATTTAAAATGCAGATTACCTGGGAGACATTTCTAAACAATAAAGTTGAGATACAGTAACTTTCCCCAAAATACCTCTCTGTTAATTTCACAAACTACCCTCCTATCAAATTAGAGCTAATTCTAATATTTCATTTAGCTGAATTAAATGAATTAAACATAGCTTTAAAAAAGGTCAAGAAGCTATCAGGTGGATACACCGTCTCAGACTGTAGTCACTGTGGCTTTGAACTGCTTTATAAAGCAACATCATTTCTAAATGTAGTAATCAAAACTTCAGCCAGTTCCGTTATGTAATGGTAAAGTTTATTTTATTTTTAATAACAATTAGAGGACAAATGTTTAAAATTTGCAGTTTAAAACATGCACATTCACAAAAGGCCAATGACACGTAACAGTGCATAGAAATGGATTTTACTCAACGGTAGTAACTATTTATAAAACACAGTGCATTGAACATTAAGATACACAAACCTGAGAGAACCACTATAAACACAGATTCGACACTCCCCACTCATGCAGTGCCATGATCTCTACAGCAGTTTCGGCAGGAATGGCTTTTCCACAGAGCTGAACATCTATTTTATCTTCAATGCAAACTGCAAAGCCTTCCAAGGCTGCTTTCTTACTTTAACGTCATACACTTGAAAAAGTGAAAAACAAAGCTTGAAGAGGCTAGTAACAAACGGCGCTCACTTCATTTATGGCTTCTAGGCTATGACTGGGAATAAAGAAAAATAGTCTGCTCACATCTTTGCCATAGCAAACTTACCCATGGAAAGTTGCTGTTAATTCAAAATAAACACATATTCAGTCCACTACTTAGGGAAGATTTATTTGCTGAGAAGTTTCATGAACTTACTAAAGAAAAGCTCTTGGAGGCAAGCTAAACAGAAGATTCAATTAAATAAAAAGATTCAATTGAATTTGTTGAAGCTTGTAAAATAATCCATTTAGTTTTTTTTTTTTTTTTTTTTAAAAAGGTGTGGAGGACCAATTAATTTGTCCACTGAATATTAAATTCTAGTTAGGCCATGATAAAGTTTTATAAGACAGAAATAAATATCGAGATTTTTACAAAAGCCATGCATTTGTGTGGATCACTTTAAATATTAGTTCATGCAAACCATAAACCTATCAAAAAACAAAACAAAACAAAAAAAAACCAAACACGCACAAAAACAAAAGACCCTAACAGCTCTTCTTCTACAGAAAATAAATCAATACAAAACACGGACAGCATTTATTTTCTTCAAAACTTAACTTACATTCCATTTCAATAGCTGTTGAAGGTTAATTAAAACACAGCAAAGTATAACTAAGTTTCACAAGTGTTTTTATTTCAATGTGAGAAAAATCAGGCTATGGTATGTTCAAGAGGCATCCAGAAATACTCATCATTAAAAAGCATTTTTGAGGCACAGAGCCACGTGGTGTTGCTGTCAGCAATGGACAGAAGGAATCCCACATACCTGGTCACCACGGTGTGAGTAAGTGGGACTAAAGTTTGTAGTTTACTGTTTAGACTAAAGGTTCATTTCGTGAAACAAGTTTTAAGACCTGGAACCATCAAAAACCAACCGCGTGATGAACAGGTGGCTTTGTGATCGCCACACACTGTTTTCAGAGGATGTCGCTATTGCTCTCTGACTCGCATTTGCTTTCTGAAAGGACTTTTTTCCATGACAGCTTATGAGGGTGGCACTAAGTATAGGACAAATTAACCTGTAACTATCATCCCAGCTATCAGGGATATGGAGTGGAAAAATTACAATATATAATTAAATGCTGAGACTACATGCTGGTCATTTCTAGAATTCACTTTGTCTGTCAGGGAGAAAAAGAACTACCGATTCTCCTTAATGATAATACAACTCATGGCTCCCTGATTTGGCAGTATCCGTCCTCTTGCCTGGGTGAGAAAGCTTTCCAGTAAGTTCTCTTTTGTTGCTGACGCCATCTCACACAGAGCGCCAAGAGGAGTTCCAGCCAGGAAGCCTGCTTATCATGTTAAATTTCCTATGTTCCTGAGAACACTGCTTTCCTGCTAATACCTTCTACAACATAGCATCTTTCAGGGTGCCAGACACCAAAGCATTTTCACATGTATAATACATAGAGAAAGTCCATGTTGTATACTACTGTGTATATTCCAACATGAAGAAGGAAGAAACGCCCAGCTTTTCAATGCTAAAGTGATGAGGGTTTTCTGCTATAAATAGTATTTTCTGGATTGTAAACATTACAAAGCAGTCATGTCAGCACTTACTAGAGTCCCTAGCGAGGAGTTTCAAACTGGAGTTACATATTGTTGTTTTTTTTTTTTTTTTTTTTTTTTTCAGAAAAACAGGTTTAAAGTCACTTTGACTGCTGTGATTCAAATCCCGGTAAAACCATGAGCGTTTCCCCTCAGCTAACACAGGTTAGAAACTCAAGGGTATCACACACCCACTGCAACAGCAATTCTCTATTTCAAGTCTTACCCAAGTGGCCACTCCCTGTGCGATCCCCAACCCAAGAAACAGGGAGACTTGACTTCATGTCCACCATTCAAACACAGGATCCAGGGATGACCAGGCATAAAGAGCTTCATTTCAGGGTATGAACTATACTGATTAACCATGAGTATTCTCATGTGGAGGCATTCCATCAAAATAATTCATGATTCAAGAAAAAAAAAAAGGGCTTTAGATTTTCATGCGGAGGGCAGAAGATTCCATTCTCATCCACAACGCTCTGATGTGAGGAACCCGGAGACAGCCGCCTCTGCTGGAGAGGGCAAAGGGAAGCCATCCTTGGGGAACCACTCATTTCTGTGGTGTGGATCTCCACTGTCACCACCAGGAGGCTGAGGAGAACCCACTCGCCACACTTAGTTGGTAGAAGGTTAAAGTCTCCAGCCTCCCAATGTGAAAGATCACCTTCGAGTCTCTGTGTGCACTTCTGCTGGATGTTTTGATTTGTGGGTTGCTTCATCTAAGCTCCAACAGGACAGACAGGTTTGAGATGTGGAGTGTGTCCACTCTGCTCCCTTCAGAATTCTGTGGGGGTTTAGGACCTCTCATTTGTAGGGAATGCAGAGACACACTGGTTAACTAGCTACAAATTTAGAGGAGGAAGAAACACAGTCTAATTTTAAATCTAGACTGAGAAAAACAGGGAAAACGATGTCAATGATGAAATGGGGGGTAATTTGGAAGCTCCCTCTTCTCAAAGCTAGTCCTTTCACACGTTTAAAGGTCCCTGTTTTGCTGGTAACCCACTTAAAGGCAAACAGGCTTTTGGATAAAAGGCAGAAGAGTTCGTTTCGATCTCTGAAGTGTATCTGAAAACTAGAACTCCCTTTTTAATCTTTTAAGATGAAAAACATGTTGTAAAAACTGTAGAAAACAGGGTGTGGTTCTTAAACAGCCCCTTCACCATTTATTGTTGGTAGCAAAATAGGCATTTTTTTTTTCAGGAGATTTCATGGAAATGCCAAAACTAATGAGAATGAACATATATTTGAAAACGTATCAGTGAGCCCCACTCATGATGAGAAGAAGTATTCATTGACTGGAAGGTTTACTGGAGTAATATAGCTATTTCCTTAAAACGAGGGAAACATGCTACTTATCTGTCTCGTGTCAATTAGCAGTACGTGCTCACTTTGGGAACTCTTGGTTGAGCGAACTGTGAAATAATTTTAAGGGTGAAGCATATGGGTATCACTGACACACCAACTGTGCTACATATATCATCTCCAGTGGGAACACACAGCGAGGACCAAACAGAACACAGGACAAAAGCCGAGCCTAGGCACATGACAAAAAGCCCATGCATTATCTGATGGATTATCCCAAACATCGACACAGAAGTTTCAGAAATCCCACATAAATACATAAGCATAATTTTCTTAGGAGGGAAAAAATAATGAAGACCCAGTGACATCACTCAATACACAGCAGAAGCCAGATTTCTACGAGCATCTAAAGGGAGTCTAAAGTTCATCAGAAATGACAGACAACAGAGTTAAGAAAGAAATCAGTGCGGTAACAATGGTCACACGCGGACAGGTCTCTCTGATGGGACAAATAAAGAGAACAATCGACGGAGAAGCAGTTGTAAGGCCGAAGGTGCGACATCACAGATTTTAGTAGCAAACGCCTGGACATGTTCAATTTTTGCAAGTCGCGCTCACATTTGAAAAGTCAAGCATGCAGATCGAACAGCAGTACTGCGAGGAAACTCTCCTTTACGTTTCTGGGCAGTTGACTACTGAATGAGAAACACACGCACTGAACGTCTTTGGCAAACATTAAGCAAGACACTTTATTGACACAAACACGTATTAATGCCTTGTTTAGAAGTGTTCAGTAGAGTGAGTCAAGAATGCTGGCGTGTTTCAGCATATCCTGAAATCTAAGTCTAGCTATACAGAGTCCCTTCTCTTAACACCATTTCGGAGTTGTTTTTTAAATGGTTGATTGACGGGTCATTGAGCCAATGAACTGAGAGCTACAGGCCCAGAGGGGCGGCTTGTGAACACTGACCGGTCCCCACTTTGAGAAAGCACTCAGGCAAGACACAAGGTCATTTCCAATACCGGTTTACAAAGCCTTAGCAGGTACTGGAGAGCATCTGAGGGCGATGATGTTAGAGTGATCACATAGTGCTTATGTCCCTGAAATCCATCTGGGAGATGAGCTCGGATCCACTTTTTCTCCCCATGGACCAGACTGGGATTGGTCAGCAGACTGCAGGGATGACCTCAGATTGTGACGGCTCTCCTCAGAGACACAGCAGGGCCTGTTGCTTAGGCCTCCTTATCACCACTCATCTGGCCTCTGTTTCGTGGTATCATAGGCTCTAATCACTTCAGACTGTGAGACGATGCCGTTTTCATCTTGAGAGAAAGCGTAGCCGTCTGTAAGTAACGAAAAGAACAGAAATCACTGACTGAACTCACTGGAAATTACCGTCAGTTCTGAGTGCTCCCGGCTGGCCTGGGAGAAACGGTACCCATCTCCCACCTTCAGAAGCAAGGGGCGCTCATTGTGAACTTCTGCAAAAGACACAAGTCCAGCAGCCAGAAAGGGAGAGTGGGGAGGGCCAGAGATTGCCAGTGTGGAGCCTCTAAACTCTGCTCCCCATTTGACTAGGCAGAAGCTGCCCAATCTCCCTTAGTCCTGGGATCCACACAGCAAGTCTACTCCCTCCGTTTTTTTTGCTTTCCCATGACTGGAAGGCTCACAGAGTCTGATCATGGCATTGGATACATTTTCAGATAGGTGCTGTGTGAGTGGGAAGGTTGGAGAGGAATGTATTAATTAGCTTGACTAAATTATTCTACCATAATTGAGCACACAGATGAAAACACTACCTTATACTCTCCACATAGATACATGATCATTGTTAATTAATGGCATTTAGGAGGAGGAGACGAACACACAGAATTGCTAGTGGTGAAGGAGAGGCCTGCTTTCTTTAGGTAACATTCTCTTTTGTTCCCAGCACATACATAATGTGTGTGTGTGTGTGTGTGTGTGTGTGTGTGTGTGTGTGTGTGTGTATTACCTCAGGGATGTTTACATGGTCTGAGGGGGTGTGGGGATAGGAGATAACCCCTAGAGGGATCACATCTTTGGAAAAGGCCCTTGACACATAAAGATCAAAAGCACTATACATGAGCATATATAAAGGAAAATAAATTACATGTGGAAACACAAAATAAAAGATATATTACCAACACCGGTAAATTTACTACAGGGCTGTATATATTATGTTCCCTTTCAGGTCCTTGAAATGTTAAGAGGGTGAGATATCCAATAATTTCTCCCAACTCTAAATATGCATAAATATTTTTGAAGGGGAAAACATATGTTTCCTTGCATCGCATGAAAGCTGAAGAGACCCTTGCGAAGTTACTCACGGAGAAAAGAAAACAACATAGAGGCGGCGCCTCAGAGTTAAGATTTATCCCACTGTTTCTTTTTAAGATTTAAGGCCGCAAGGAATGTGGAGATGGCAGCATTTTAAAATTCGCTATTAACTGGGAGATGGTGCAGCCCATGGGGCTGTTAACCAACCATTTGTTTTTATATACCATGCTGGTATATAAATTTTAAACCATTCATTTTAAATGGCTAAAGACGGTGGATATTCAACACACTGCTCTGATAAGCGCTGGGGTCCACAGAGTGCAGAGAATTTAATCAAAACTCCAATACTCACGGAGCAGGTTCTGCTGTAGGGACTCGGAGCGGTACAGGTTGACGTGGTTCTTCTTAAAGACATTCTTGAGCAGCTGTGCCCTCTCCGTGAGGCTGTGGGGCAGGCACAAAAGTGTGAAACACACTCTCAACTCAGGGAGCCAGGCTCTCTGCAGGACTACCAGCAGAGTTAGCCTGAACAAAAGCCGGAGAACCGGCAGTGGGATCTAATTCCTTTTTATTCTATTTTCCCAGCTAGCAAATGAGATCTTAAGTATTTCCCCCACAGCTACAGAGGAGTTTTATCTTTAATGATAATCTAGGCAAACTAAGATTTCTTTACCCAGCACCATTATATCTAAATCAAATGGAAACACAGAATCTGTTCAACACAAGTAGGAAAAACGTTACCAAATCATCTAAAAGCCTTGATTGACTCAGTACGCATTCTAAGTACAGAACAGTTGGATTTTAAATACAGCTCTCTTACCCATACTATATCTTGCTTACACTTTGACATACTCTGATATAAAATGATCGTTTTAGTTGTACTTAAAAAAAAATGAAAAAAAAAATTACAAAGGGTAAAATATTATCCTCTGTAATCAGAAAAATTCCATTACCATTCTAATCTGGTTTAAGTATGTCAGTTTCATTTTAAAATACGAATTGTTTTCAGAAAATGATTATTCTAGATAAAGCAACAAGGAAACAAAAATCCATCAACGCTTAGCCTGACCTCCACAGCGAGGTCTCCGGAATGAATCACGGAACTTCTGCAAACCACGCTGTGAGAAGTGCCACATGGTTCCCTCTACTGCATAGTGGAGTCTCTCACACAACAGGAATCCAAACATTTGTGGGAGAGAGGAGTCGGAGCCATTTGGAGACACGCTTACAAACCTCCTCCGTCTTACCAATTGTGCTGTTTGCCTAGTGGCTGACTTATTCAATGTTCTTTGAGAGCAAAAAAAAAAAAAAAAAAACAAAAAAAACCCAAGCAAAACAGTCAGTGTGGGAGGAAGGAAGGTGTCTGTGCCACGCAAGTGTGTTCTAGCAATTGGAAGGACATCGGCTAAAAAAAAAAAAAAATTCCCATCTTGTTTTTTTTCCTCACCATGCAAGCTTCAGTTAAACTGCTGTAAATTATGCTAGTTCTATGTTTTGCCATTTTTTTTGAAAGCCTAAAATGGAATTATCTTTATCATATATACATATACACAAAAAAAGATCCTCTTCATTGTATAAATGAATTACATAGACATTTAGGCAAAGATGGAAGGAAAATATTTAGAAATGTTGACATTTGTATTAATCTCTCACATAGTTTTTGAAGCCTAGGGATGTGAGCTCGGGCTTACTCGACATATTTTATTGTCACTGGGAATTAGCCGCATTAAAAGGAGACAACGAATCCATGGAGCAGTGGAGCAGCAGCCCAGATCCTTGTAAACCTTGTTTCTGCCACACACACAGAGGAAAGGGGTCATCTCTATCAAGTCTCTCCTCCCACCCTTCCCCTTAAGCCATCTAACACTACAGACTGAGACCCTAAGGGTACTACAATGGGTAACTCCTCTGGGGAAGCTGGGAGTGGGAGCCTCGGACATTGTGATTTGATTAGCAGAGCACTATGGACAGGGTGTCTGGCAGTCTCTGGTGTTGGGAGCCGAAATGATTCCAGAAGGCTGGAGGAGGGCAAAGGAGCTTCCTGGCAGCTTCTTTCCCAAATCCACTTTCATAGTTTCAGGCTGACTTTCCAAAATGCATCGTACTTGAATATCACAACACCAATATATGAAGAAGTCTAGGGATGGACTTTATCTTCGATATTTCAGCAACTGAAATACACAGGATGATGCTTTCCCCACCCTGATTTACTTATTTATTTTTTTTTTGAGCACCGAGACTCGCTTGGAAACTTAGCACATCCATCAGGAAAGGGCATAGACTCTGGAGTCTGTCTTTGACTAGATTTTGAGTCTGCTACTTGTTAGCTGGGTCACTGTAGACAAACCTTCCTTGGTCATCTCACTTATAATGGGAGGACAATACATAACTCTCTGGCAGACAGGCAGGGTTTAGCTGCTTGTCAGCATAGTGATTGACACTTAGGAAGCACTCAACAAATGCTGGTCCCTCCCACTCCTATCCCCCAGATCCCAGGGATTCTATTAGAAAAGGTACTTTGTAAGGATCACTTTTGATGCCTTGGTTTGTACTTAACCTTGGCTCGGTGTGAGAGAACTACTGCTATCATGAGTTTTAATTCCTGATGCCCCCATTCTACCTCACTGCTAAGAAAACAACTACGTTTTTGTGGCTGTGTTCTTTCCTGGGTGACTTGTTTTCTGCCTCCTCCAGAATATAAATGCCATCTACAGGAGGGTGCTTCCTAAATTAGAAGTGATGGGGAGTTGATTTCTCTGGCCTTATTCTGCCCTCGGGAAACAATTTATTATTTCAAAATTGATGCACTTTTATGCCATCCATGTTCATGGGGGACTAGGATTACTATCAGGTCCCATTGTAAAATATGTGGATAACATGTTAACATAAATAAGTATACTGAAAGTTTAGTTTTTTATTTTGTTTTGTTTTGTTTTGCTAAAAAGCTTAACTCAGTGTGACAGAAAAGAGAGAGAGAAGGACCAAGACACAGCCTTACTAAAACCACATCTACTACAATTCTTAGGTAGTAGTTTCTCTTAATCTTGTAGGGTCTTTCATTTACATACCAAGATATGCAAATTCCAAGTTTGTTTAATGCAATCACACAGTAACTACTATTTAAACACTGTTGCTTTATTTCCAACTCATCACAATATTGGAACTTGGGTATTTAGTGGAGGTGAATGAAAAGATACTAAATTTAAAAATAGGATTTCTTTGAGAAACACTAAACTATGTTATTGGCTAAAACTCATATACAGTCAAGGAATGTGTTATTTTAAAGGAATCCTGGTCACCTTTGAAGGGTGGTAAAGTGGCATGTATCGGTTTAGTGTGCTGGGTAATGTTTATCAACTTGACATAAACCTAGACATACTCAAGAAGAGTGAATCCCAGTCTCGGAATTGCTTCCATTAGAATGGCCTGTGGGCAAGTCTGTGGGGATATTTTCTTGATGTCTAATTGATGTGGGAGGACTCAGCCCACCGTGGGCTAGAGGCCTGAGCTGGTGTAGTGCCATCCCTGAGCTGGTGGGCCTGGACTGCGTAAGAAACGTAGCTGAGAAAGCCAGAGGAAGCCAATCAGTAGGCGGCATTCCTCCACGGTCTCTGGGTTAAGTTTTCTGCGGCCAGTTCCAGCCTTGGCTTCCCTACGTGATGAACAGTAACGTGCAGGCTGCAATAAACCCTTTCTTCTACAAGTTGCTTTGGGTCAGTGTTTTTATCACAGCGATAAAAAGCACACTAGGAGACCTGGCGAACTGTTTGGTTTGGCTCGCTGAGACGAGTGTCCCGAAAGCTAACCAGCATTTAATCACGATGAAAGGGTTAATACGCAGCGCAGTGAGATAGCAGTGTGGCTGGGAGAGAATGAAGCACAGCCTAATCTCTGTCTAGGGGGAGGGACGACAACGAGGTGGCTCTTCACCCCGGTGATGAGTAGGCTGAAGAAAAGCTTTTTCTTTCAAAAAAATTTTTTTAGACTTTATTGAAAAAAGAAAAATTAGCGTGTGTGCGTGTTATTTTTGGCTGTATTTTTGGTGCAGATACCACTACGGTGAACATTATTTGCTAGTGGAGTTGTGTACATGTGTGATATGAACATGTGGAGGGACTGATGGGGAGTCTTTTGGATTGCCCTCTACCTTTACTTTTTTGAGACAGGATGTGTGGACCAGACACTCATTGCTTGGCAAGTGACTGGCCCAACGGATGAGCTTTGGGGACCTGCTGGTCTCTTTCCTCCCAGTGCTGTGGCTACAGGCCTGCTAGACCATCCTGGCTTTTGATGTGGGTTCTGTAGATCAGGCCCTCAAGACCCAAAAGCAGGTACTAGACTGACAGGCCATCTTCCTAGCCCCAGAACAGCTTTTCTATAGGCTTCTTTATTGCCCACAGAGCATGCGCTGTCAGATTGACATAAAGACCGTAGTGAAAACTGGGACGTATAATTTCATTTGTTAGTTCTAGGACGACACCCAAATTGCTTTCCATTAGGAAAAAAGTGCTGGGGTTACAGGCATGGATGGCCACACCCAGCTTTTTATATGGTGCCAGAGACTTGAACTCAAGTCCTCTCGCTTGCAGGGGGAAGGCTCTTCTCCACTCGTCTCTGGTGTTTGTTTGATAAATGTAAAGATGTCACCTGACGTTTAGTGTAGTGGGGCAGGTTTCCTGTCCTGCTGCTGTCCTCCCTACATCACCCCTTCTGCATTGCCCCTCCGGGAGGAGCTGCTTTGTAGCAGGAAGCCACTACGCTCTCCCTCACCACCAGCCTTCAGATCGCCAGTGAGCAGCAAGCATGCAGGTATGTGTCGGTCCAGGGATCCGGTGGTAGTATTTTGTCAGTTTACCTAACTCATTCCTGAGGAGAGCGGAATAGGTATTTTAAAAGTCAAGTGAGCTGGGTAAGCTTGGGCGGGGACGGGGGATGGGGGATGGGGGACGGGGATGGGGTGGGGATAACTGAAGTATTTCTAACAGAGAAATCAGTGGTTATAAGGGTATAATCCATTTCTTGGTGGCTTAGATTCACTCATTGATTTTTAAAGCTTTATTTATTTTATGTGTATCAGTGTTTGGTCTACATGTATGTATGTGCACTACATTTGTACTTGGTGTCCTTGGCGGTCAGGAGAGGGTGTTCGAGCCCCCGAAACTGGATTTACCCATGGCCGTGAGCCACCAAGTGGGTGCTGGGAGCCCAAACCAGGTCCTGTCCGAGAGCAACAAGCGCTCTTAACCCCTAAGCCCTCTTTCCAGCAACCACGATTTACTGCTTATTCAACGGAAGGGGTTACACACACTGCAGACTCCTGGGATGATTAAGATATGGAGACCATCACGTCAGTCCTAGCTGACCAGGAGTTGTCAGTCACTGCTGGACGACTCGGGAGGGGCTAATACAGCCTTTCCCAGCATACCCGCAAATACGAGACATAGACTCGAAGGGCAGAAACAGCATCGCCAGTGGCCTTTCCCTAGTAACTCTCACTACGCGGCTGTATTTGCTTTGTGATGTGAAACATTTTCTTATCCTTTGTATCACGGAAAGAAAGAGAGAGGAAAACGGAGAGAGAGAGAGGGAATGCTGGGCCCCGGTCACAGGAAAGGTGCTTTTGTACGATGAACCCCACGATGCAGAATCGTGACTTGGAGCAGGACCTCTTCAATCAACTGGCCTGGGCTCGAGGTCGAACAATGTTAGGGACTCATTTTCTGATCTGTCTGCCTGGGTTGCTGTCGGGTTCAGTGAGCCAGTGTATGCGGATTATGAGTGAGGTGCCTGGACGGCAGAGAGTTCTCAAGAAATGCCGGGGCCACGACGTTCAAAGCACAGGTTCACACCAGTGTTTCAAGGGTCGCCCAATGAGAGGCAGTCGGAATCGGGGGCCAGGGCTGTGGCTTCTGCTCTCACTCTGACATCTATTCCATTCTGTCCAACTGAATAAAAATGCTGGAGCAGGACTGAGGTGACATACTGCAGGCCCCCAAAATTTTCCTATGGACTTTAGACAAAACCTTTGGTCTGGTTAGTAGGATGAAAGAAAAAAAAAAGAGTGAATTCCCAGGGCTATCTTTATAGTTATATTTTTATTGTAGATTGCTTTCAATTATTTTTCTTTTAATAATGCTTTGGGTATTTAGTGGATTTATTTAGCTGACTAGCCTGTGTGCTTGGAGGATGTGGTGGTAAGGAAAAGGGCCTGGAAAGTGTAACTCAGTCTTTTGGATGACCTGAATTTAGATTGGTTCTTAAGAACACACTGAACTAGAAATGCAGACAGGGAAGCTCACCATACGTCAAACCATGGTTTTGATTATATACCTTTAAAAAATTATTGATACTGCTTCAAAATAAAAATTCTCTTTCTTTTAAGAATTTCAATACAACTATTTGTAAATATCACTTACTTAAATGCTTATGAAGTGCTCGGCACCGTGATACCTATTTTAGAGTATATCTTTCAATTCCTTATTTTGTGTTCAGAGACAAGGTCTTAATATGCACCTGAGGCTGAAATTCCTTATGCAGTTAAGACTGGCCCCAAACCTATGATCGATTGCGTCAGCCACCTAAGTGCTGTGATTACAGGTCCATGTCATCCCGCTTCCATTATTTTATTCAATCCTTACAACCACTTGAAAGGAGGTATAACAGCCCCAGTTTATTGATGAAAAAAAAATTGAGGCTCAGTTGCATTAAGACATTTGTCTAAGACCGCTCACTATTTAGTGATGATAGATCTGGTTTGAATCCATACCTCTATGATGCCAGAATATGATGCCAGATTCTGTCAATAACACCACCAGTCCCAAATGAGATGATAAATGCAAGTCTTACAGCTTATTTCCAGCCACGAGCAAGAGAAAAATGTAAAATTCTCCTAGGAAAGAACATATTCAATTTGCCCTTTACCTCTTTCCAAGTACGACTGCCCCTGGGTCCTGAGATTTCGCCTCCAGCTCCTGAACTTCATCCACTAATGTTTTAAAGGCGGTCCTCTTGATACTGCAGGGAGACAAGGATTTGCATGGAAATTCCCCCTCGAAGACTTTACAGATGTGGACATGTGGCCTACTGTCAAGCCGTTGGCAATCACAGCAGGAACCAGGGATAAACAGAGTTTCAACAGATCAAAAAAGCGAGGGCACTTCTATTTAGTAATATAGGGACAGCAGTCAGAACAATTGAGATTTTCAAATACTAAGAGTTACTAAATAAATATATTATTAATTTTAGTATATAGTTTAACTATATTGTAGGATATGACATCATTTTAAAACGTTAACTATTGAGAAAAATGGTAAAGTTTCTGTTCCTTTTATATGTTATATATGTTTAGAACCAGAGAAGCAAGGAATTTCTTTTCATAGCTCCTAAAAAACATGTTTGGAGCTAAAATCTTTTTTCCTTTCTATTTTAAGGCCTTGCAGATGATTTCTAAAAACATATTTCCTGATGTAATTTTCTCCAATCGAACAAATACACATGTCTTTGATGTCACCTGATGTTAACTGCTTTATTTCTCACTTGGCCCTCTAAACTCGTTTTCTCATTGAATCATGCCTTTCTTCTTTAAAACTAATAATCATCACTGATTCCGATTTTGCAAATTTTACACGTTTGAGAACTGCAGAAATTGGAGAGGTGACATGCATGTATGTTTTGGGGCATATAGCCAAATATCACATACTTACACTTTGCACAGCACATCCAGAAGCAAGGAAGCCACAGGAATGGAGAGCAAGCCCATCCAAAAGACTCCAGAGCTGAAGAGCATGGCTGCCTGTGGGAGTCAACACACACACTCAACACGTCCATAGAACCAAGAGGGGCACCCTTCACGCTGAGTTTCTTAAGACCATTTAAATAAGATAGCTTAAATATCATTTTATAAGACAATACCCTGAACTCAAACTCATAAAATATTTGGAATTAAAAGCCATATTTATTTAAACTAGCATTTACACACTAGTTTTTCCATCTCAAGTAGCTGATAGAGAAGTTTGAATCATGCATTAAATCTTTTCGTATATACATATGGATTTTGTAAAATTATCGTGCTCCATGATGTAAAGTGTAAATTTTGATCTTTTGTAACATGGCATCATTATCAATCTTTCTGAGGAAATAAAATATACTTTGGATTTAAATGAAATATAGCATATAAAATAATTCATATTTAGAACCCAAATCTAATAATTCTTGCACATGAAAATTAACTTTACACTTATCACACGGCGAGCCATTAAAAATCATCCAGATACATTATGACTATGGTACAATCAAAGTAAGATATCTATGAAAGTAACAACTTGATTATTTTGGGCCACTGAATAGACCTCATCTTAATTTTGGTTCAATGATTCACATAAATTTTATCAGTATACATCTATGATTGCTAAAGTCAAACCAAATACCTAGTGTGTGAAACTCAAATAAAGGTATGCTAAAACTAACTTTAAATTATTCCATTGTATTAAATCTTAAATCGAGTATCAATGTCTTTCATACTGTAAACAAAACACTTCTGCGATTTTAGAAAAGCAATAAATTCTATTAGTTATTTGTGATTAAAATAAAATATCGTCATAGAGTTAGATCACACAGTTTTTAAAAAGACTAGTTTTGTACAGTGAAAGATATATTTTTGGTTTCACTTCTTTGAGTTGATTTGTTTCTCAAGGGCAAGGCTGCTGTACCTGTTCAGTTTGTAAATATACTACTACAATTCCAGGACACAGTAGCCAACTATCCCTGTACACTTTAAATTCTGGTAAAAAATTATACAGGAAGAGTTCTTCTTTTTAAAACTTGAATTCGGGAATTAAAAAGGACCAAGAGTTTAATTCAAGGTAGATTCACAATCCTGCAGAGTTCTAGTCACTCCAGCCTCATCACATAGGAAGAACAATTTTAAAGCATGTCTTGGACCCACTATTCTTTTTGACTCTCCCATCTCTCCAGCCCCATTTTGACTCTCAAAGGGGCACCAGGAACTACTCTCATCTTTTCCCTGCATGACCACAGGCCATTGATAGAGTCTGCCACTCAAGGATACGAAGGTTTTTTGTTTTTTTCCTGGACATCTCTGCACATCTAAAATAAAAACATGCCATTATAAATATAAAATCTCATAAAATAGAATTTGCCACATGGGTTCTGAGGAACAGCATTCATATTCCAGACACACCAACAAGTGAAAAATGTCCCCATAAAAGTCACTTTACTTAATAAGCAAAACATGATCTGGGACATGTTTGCTGACATCCTCAATAGTGAAAACCAACAGCAACCGTGTACTAGGAAATGCCTATCAACTCCCTAGCCTTTGTTGCCATTCAAGGACGCTTTCTAGTAAGGTAACAGCTATTAGAAAACAAAAAAAAAAAACAAAACAAAAACCCTTGCCTATCTTTTTCTTTCTGGGGAAAAGGTAAGGTGAGACACTAAGTCATAGAACTAAAAACATGTTTCCCTGGCTTACTTTTAATGTATTTTAATTGGGGGCAAGAAAAGAAAGACTTCTTCTCGCCTTTGGCAAACCATGTATTAACCTCGAGCTAAATGTCTCCGCTGACAAGAAAACCTTGGCTCCGGCAGGCTGCTAATTCTGACCATTGTCATGCTAATGACCGAGGGGGTGACTACAGCCGACTATTCAGCTACCGGCCTTTGGCTTTACAAATGAACAACATGAATTGAGGGGAAAAAACTTTTTCTGAGTCATATCTGAAAGCCTGTCAGATTTTTTTTTTCTTTTGCAGCGTTAATCCAAACCTAAAAGATTTAAAGCCGACGTTCCCGTTTAAGACAGAGAGTCTCTTTGTATTTTTTTTTGGATGAAGAGGAGGGAAAAAAAAATGAAATCCCACAGAGGTATTTCCTTCCTTTCTGTCCAAGAAAGCTCCCCTCCCTCGGTGGAAGCTCGTTTGACTCTAACTTTTCACATCTCCCCACTCTCAGGCAGGTCAGCTGGGAAAAGGCAAGCCATGGGCAGACAATGGCGCTTACGGGAGCGTCTGTTAGGGGTTGGTCTGGGGCTCGCTCCGAGAGCAGTTTGCAAATGGTCCTGAACGTGGGAGATTGGGGGGCAGTGCCAAGTGTCCCTTGTCCTCTTCCAGGTCCTGTGAAACCAAATGGAATCCGCCACAAAAGCGGCTTCCAGAGGGGCTTGTGGAGGGGGTCTGTGCACATAGGGCTGTGTGGTCGGTACCCTGCAGGCCTGCCTGTGCCCTGTCTGGGAACAAGGAAGTACTTGTCTCTGCTGAGGTCACAGGCTCCAGATGGGACCACTAAGGGCTTCAAAATAAATCAGGGCGGACTCGAACAGAAAACATAAAAACACAACACACAGGAGAAGTGCTCCGAAATAAACCCGCAGAAGACTATTGAGAAGACATCAGCTTATTGTGCAACTAGCCCATCTGGAGGCGCAGGACCAGGACCCGTTAACTGCTTATCTCTGACCCACAGTGGGGACGCCAACAGAAGAAGTTCTTCTGCAGTCAGCTTGCCCAAGTTCAACCTTACAGAATGGAGGAGAACTCACGTTTGCTGCCTGCCCTTTGTAAGCCTTCAGCTGGCGGTTCTTGCCTCTGACTTTGCCATTAGCAGGGCTGGTAAGGCTTGCTAAGGAACTCTTACTCTTCCATAGTGTAAAGATGGCTTTCAAAATAAAAGCACTTTAGAGAGCCCTTGTGCCCCAACCAGAGCAGGTCTGGTGCTGTGCAGCCTTTGGTCTGGCAGTGTCCATGGCAGCCGCCAAGACTCCATGGGGAGGGATTCCTCAGCTATCAAGTGGGTTTAAGAATCAAACCCCTCAGCGCAACATGGCTGTATTCATTATGGACTCGTTCTCCTATTTTTAACTTAATTTTGGAATTCTTTAGAGGACTCTTGTCTCTGGTTCTTTCTAGTGATCTGTCCCTTGAGCTTTAAGAAAGGGAGGTTTTCTCTTAAGTGAAAACAAATCTATAAATTTTATGTTTTTGATCAATATATATATACATATACACACACATACATACAAATGTTTGTCTTATCCAATATTTTCAATGTCAGCATATAGTATGGGTCGATATAAATTGATCATTAATAAACTCTCAGCCTTAAAGATTTGCTAACAGGAGGAGGCTTGGTTAAGTATATCAGTCTCCCAAGTCTGCTCACAGGAAATGGAGAAAATATAAATTATTATATATTAACTTTACAGGGGGATTATTAAGAAAATAGTGCTACAAAACTTGGTGTTTTTTGTTTTGTTTTGTTTTTTTTTTAAAAAAAAAAAAAGGTTTTTTTTGTTGTTGTTGCTTTTACCATGTAGCCCAGGCTGGCTTTGAACTTGAAAATGATCTATTTGCTTTTGCCTCCTGAGTACAAGGGTTACAGGCACATGGTACCATGCCTGGTTTAAAACTTAGACAGACAGACAGACAGACAGACAGACAGTCCTTTCCTTCTCTTCTCCCTCCCTCCCTTCCTCTCTCTCTTTCTTTGTTCTTTTGACTCATTCCTTTTTTTTGTAAGAGAAAATAAATCCAAAAGAGCTGCAAATTAATATTAGCAACAATTTAAAAATTTCCAAGAAATAGGACTGGGAATAGTCCTCAGTGGATAGGTCATCCCTGTGCTCTGTGGGAGGCCTGGGTTCAATTCACAGCCCTCCAACAAAACAGCAAAAACCAAAAAGTTCTATCATCTAGAAAAGGCTTTACACAGGGTTTCTATATTTAAAAATAGCAGGGAAAAATATCTCCAAAAAGAACAGATTCACGGAAAGACAGAACTTTCAAGGGAATGTGAGTGAAAAGGTAAAACATGCTGGAGAATGAGTCTCACATGTGTGCAGTTCTGTACTAATATCTGATCGTAAGGGGAGCCTACTCATCTACTCATCTTCCTGCACACAGATTTCAAGAGACAGGCAAGACCAGAAACAGTGTTCTTAAAAGCCGTAGCAAGCCATCAGTGACATAACCATTCTCTGCAGTCTTAAAAAAAAAAAATGCACCAAATTAAATCAAATAAAAGAAATGCACCATCACAGTTGTGGGGTGTGGAGAGCTGCTGTTCACCAGACACTTGTAATAATCCAGAGTTTCCCCTGAAATGGATTAGCCTGTGGGAAAGGGATGGTGACACACTCACTCACTCCTGCTAACTTGATAGTTCCGTTTCTGCACCATGTGTCACATTTCACCCTGTGCATAGGTTGGCATCTCCTGAATCCATTTTTGTGATCAGCAGTCCTACAAGGCCCCAGGGACGCAGGTGTGGTGAAGTGACCCCAGCCTCTCAGAGTCAAGGGCATGGCAGTTTAAGGAAGGCATGGGAAAGATGGAGTAAGGAGCCCACTGAGCCCCAGTGAGCTGTATGGTTTTCACCAATGCACTGATGGACCTTGCAATGCCTTTCCAAGGCTGTGGAACACAGATATTTGCTGTGACTGGCGACAGCGAACAGGTCACTCTGCAGCTGGTTGAGTACATTCTGTGCTTTATTGTATACAGAGGATTGAGTGAATTATCACCAGGAAAGTTTTTACCAAATTGTGCTGTGCTTAAAGATGTCTATAATAAACTACTTGGGGTCAGACTCGAGACGTTTGAACCGATACAGGCTACTTCATCATGTTGAACTGAACTGCCTTTCGTTTCCCTGGGCATCGTTACTCTGCCGGCCATGGTGGGTCATAGAGACCCTTGCAACTTTGTAGCAGGTGTTGGTTGGGTTCATGCTCGGAGCTCCATCAGCTCCTTGGCATGGAGCGCCCTGCAACTTGCT